ACAACTTACAAGATAACTGCTAACAGGCTAACTGCTAACAGGCTAACAGCTAACAGGCTAACTGCTAACAGGGTAACTGCTAATGGGCTAACTGCTAACAGGCTAACAGGGTAACCACTCGCTGAGTAACAGCCATGTTAAATTGGAAGCACTGTTTTGATTTGTGTCTTTCTTTCCCCCTCTAAATCTCTTGCTAATTTCTTCCTTGTGTTATCTAAAAAAGTTCGAGACAAAAAAACTTCTAGACTTTATTTGTAACGGAAGACGTTTCACTTCTCGTCCGAGGAGCTTTCTCAATTCAAATAAAAGAGTGTGGGCTTTGAGCTAAGCTAGATACATATGCAGATTGCCCTATCAATCCTCACTGACACAATCCTTGTGTTTTCGACCCATTTGCAGGCAGGCAAGCGAAGGCAGGAGTTTAATTAAAAAGATTTATTTAAACAACAAAAACAAAAGGCTGACGGGGCAGCACAAAAACTTACTAAATAGCTAAATAGCCGTAGTACAGAGCAGAATCATCAGACGGCTGGAAACAGAACAGGCAGAGGAGAAGTCTGTGCGTAACAGAACAATGACCGGACAAAGAGTGGAGCAGAGAAAGGCTTTTTTATAAGACAGAGGGAGAGTGAGTAATGAGAGCACCTGGGCAGGTGGCTGATGAAAGACAGGTGTGAATGATTAAGACTGGAGACTGGAGAGGCAGACTGAGGAGTGAGTGGAAGGTGACTGAAAACAGAATCAAATACACAGGGACATAATCACACAAGGAGCAGAACAACAAAAGTATCAAGAGCAAAGAGGGGAACACAAATAAATATAAAGAAAACAGACAGGGACAGAGCCCGTCACTCACAACAGGGTCTTTGTTACTTTGACCCACAGAGGAACCACTCTGGTCACATGGATGAAATTCCTGAAAGGTGTTAAAATGACGGGTATCAGTCCTAAAGCTGCATTATAAGTTGTTGACAGTTGAAATCTGAGACCTCCTCCTCTGTTTAAAGATGGTTTCTCTCTTTTTACATACAGTTTCCTTCACCCCCTCTCAAACCATCTGTCCATTGAGCATGCATCAGGACATCCGTCCTCTCGGTCCAAAATGTGAACATCAGAATCAGAATGCCTTTATTGACATTGCACAGAAGAACAACAAAACTACATTTCAGAAACAGCCCGTCAATAGAAGACAACATAAACATGAGAGGTGTCAGTGCGGCTCAGTTAAAAAAAATCTTTATCTCGCACTGTGTCCTTGACACGGGACACAGTGTGAGGAAGCACAAAACAACCTCAGTGCAAGAAAAGAGACATACAGACATAAGACATAAGACATACAGACATAAGACATACAGACATAAGACATACAGACATAAGACATACAGACATAAGACATACAGACATAAGACATACAGACATAAGACATACAGACATAAGACATAAGACATAAGACACACATATGTGTGTGGAGTGGGTAGTAGGGGTTGAACGAGTATATAATTTTTAAACTCGACATTAACATAATAAAACCCAAGTAGAACTCGAGTATTTGATGACGTCATAGATCTCAAGATACAAAAATATATAAATAAATAAAACTGCAAAAAAAGGTAATTATTTACAAAAAAAGACCAACAAAACATTGGGAGCGTATATTTTGCTCCTACCATTTATCATACTGCAAATAAGTCACAGGAAAAACTAATCTATTAGTTTTTATTATTAAACTGCAACCGTGAAGAAACGCAGAACGTCAGAAACGAAACTTAAACCGAACCTGGTTCTGGTGGATTGGACCCGGTGTTACACCATACTCTGTGACCTGCAACAGTGCAACACCGCCCCCTACGGTCATACGGTGGTCACATGATATGACGTCACTATGGATACTCGACGTTACATTTTTAACCTCGATAGATGTCCTAGCAATCGATGTGTAATTACTCGAGTACTCTGTTAATGCCCTAGTGGGTAGGGGTCTCAGCACATACCAAGTTAGCGATCCAGCCAATGGCGCTTTCACATCTTCTAGGTTGCTGCACCAGGGGAGGGGCAATGAGGAAGGCCAGTGAAGGCATGAATTTGAGGGGAAGTAGTGTGTGAGCAGTGTTCAGAGCCCCCCACCCCCCACAGCCAAAGTCCTGATAAGAGGTGGAGCAATGTTTATCAGCCTGCTTGGTTGAGCTCTGACACAGGTCCATGTCCCTGGGGGAGTGGAGCAGGTAGGGGATGTGGGTGGGGTGTCAGAGCATCTTGTTTCCATAACATCCAGGAGAAATTCATATAGTCAACCTTCAAGGCCAACATGGTGGGAGCCAGTTTCAGATATTAACATTTGTTTTGGGTCAGGCCGAGCTCTCTTAATTCCTGTCTGCCTTAAAAGTCTTGCTAGTACATCTCATGGTGATTCCAAACAGCCAAAACTGTGATTACATTCTGGTCCTGAAATGTGTGTTCCTTATCCCTGAGGTGTAGGTGAACAGCTGAGTCTTGTCCTGAGGAGGTGGCTGTCCTGTGCTGAGCCATGCGTCTGTGAAGTAACTATTTGGTTTCTCCAATGTAGAGGTCTGGACATTCCTCGCTGCACTGGACTGCAGACACCACACCACTCTGTTTGTGTTTGGGGGTTTTGTCCTTAGGGTGGACCAGCCTGTCTTATGGTTCTGTTGGGTTTGAAATGTACCGAGATGTTGTGTTCGGAGAAAGTCCTCCTCAGTTTCTCTGATACTGCAGCAACATAAGGGATGACAATGGTTTTCTGTCCGTTGTTCTCCTTGTTCTGTTCAGTGGTGTGTTTTCTAGATTTCCTCGCTGACATGACGAAAGCCCAGTTAAGATATGTTCCACATGTTTGGAGAGTTTTTTTAATGTCTTTGTTCCTTTTCCTTTGTGGGGACATGTTCAGGCCAGTGCTGTAGAGTTAAACAGGACAAGACTCAGCGGTTCACCTGCACCTCCAGGATAAGGGACAGTCATTTGAGGACCAAAATGTTCACATTTTGGACCGAGAGGACAGTTGTTTGAGAGGGGGTGAAGGAAGCTGTCTATATAATGACAGAAACCATCTCTAAACAGAGGAGGAGGTCTCAGATTTCAACTGTCAAAAACGTATAATGCAGCTTTAGGACTTATACCCAGTCAGTTTCACACCTATCAGAAATCCCAACCATGTGACCAGAGTGGTTCCTCTGTGGCTCAAACTAGCAAAGACCCCAACGAACCTCTATTGTGAGTATTGATAGGGCAATCTGCATATGTATCTAGCTTAGCTTAGCTTTAGAACTTGAACCCCACTCTCTGTTCTCTGAACTGAGGAGGCTCCTCGGATGAGAAGTGCAACGTCTTCTGTTACAAATGAAGTTGTTGTCTTGAACTTTTTGAACTGACCATGTCCTGATGACTGAGACTCTTCACCTGCGTTTTTCCTCATGCGTCCTCCTTTTCTTCATGTTAAACATTTAGAAGATGTTTGTTCCATCAATAACCGCTGTGTTCTGTTCTCCTTTGTGCTGGAGCAGTGGCATGCTTTGTCCCGAGAGGAGCAAGCTAAGTATTACGAGTTAGCTCGCAAAGAACGGCAGCTCCACATGCAGCTGTACCCGGGCTGGTCCGCCAGAGACAATTATGTAAGTACCAACAGAACGGACTGGCAGCGGTGCGTGTGCGTGGATTTCTGTTGTTTACGTCTTTGTTGCATCACTTCCTGTGCAAATGGTACTCACAAAATAATGTTACTGGAGCCGTCTTTATGCTAATGGTGTTCATTCTGATGCTCTTTGTTTCAGCGTAGTGAGTCAGTCGTAGCGTTGTTGTAGTCCGTGCACACTAAAATGGATTGTGCTGTCACGGACACTGAGTGAAGATTGCTGCTAATGGTAATGCTAGTGTTTGATGTGCCACATCAGCATACAGCTTCAGGGTTCAGGCTGTGTTCAGAGAGCATCTCTACCCTTGTTTGTGTGCAGATGTGAACCTGTCAACATCTGTCTGTGTGTGTGTGATGTGTGTGGCTTTGAGAGAAAGTGAGCACCAGCTTTTATTAAAAGTGTGGCTCCAGCACTCACGTTCACTCCACCACTGAAGTGCTTTGTGGTGTTTATCTGCCTCCCCTCGGACGTCAGCAGCATCCCGCTTCTTTCTGCCTCCTCTGCTCCACTGTTGAAATGCCTCACTGGGGGGGGGGGGGGGGGGTACTGAAGCACATCTCAGTCCATCAACATCCAATAGTGACATCGCTCCAGACTGTTTGTCCGTATATTATTTAATCTGTAGCAGCCAACAAAGTTAAGTCAGGGCCTCTGGACGGTTCTTTTTGTTGAAACGTTTCATTTCTCATCCAGAAGACTTCTTCTGTCCTGATCGTCTTGGATTACTGAGCATGAAGCAGTGCAATTTCTAGCTGCTACATAAAAATAGATTCAGTTGGTAGTTGTAAAACATCCAACGGGAATAGTTTTAGACTTTGAAAAACTGAAAGATAGAGATGTGACTAATGAAACATTTCTTGGAGACATTTTTGTATCCTCTCTCTCTGCCCCCCACCAAAATATGCAGCTGTAGGCTGGACCCCCCCCAACAGGTGCTGCACTGCCGTAGAGAGCATGCTGCAGAGCGATCTGACCGGTCCCCCGCTCAGCCTCTCAGGCTCTCCTTCCACCGTCGCAGCAGCAGAAGCAGATTAGCTCATGAATAAGTGGATTAGCAGATTCTGCAGCAGGAAACCGAAGTGCTTCTCATATTTGACTCACTCTACGCTGCTATCTGAACCTTGTACACCTCTAGGGAATTAAAAGAAGTATACACTTTCACAAGTCTACACCAACACCTCCCTAAAGAAGAGTGGTGGTCCTCAGAGCCACTGAGCAACACTGGCCTTATTTTTAGAGGTCTGTCTGTCTGCAGGACAGAGACGGTAGATCTTTCTTCAGCTCTGAAGGAAGTTTGACTGACGTCAGCGTCCACACTCAGGACAGGTCGAGCCCCCCCAGTGTTGCAGTTCGCAGCGCAGCGTGGAGCGTGGGCCGTGCTGCTCGGATGCCCAGCAGGGGATGAGTGAACATGGCAGTCAGCAGCAGGATATCAGAGTGGTCTAGTGAGCGTGAGTGCTGGAGCCACACTTTACCCGTTCCTCTGTATATTTCTAGGGGAAGAAGAAGAAGCGGAAGAGGGAGAAGATGCAGGAATCGGCCCCAGGTGATCACTCGTCTCTGCGTCTTCTTCTGTTTGTTGCATCTCCATGTCAGGATTAAGGACTACGTATAATCTGTGGCAGGGTTGTAACGCTGTAAAACTGCCTGCTCTTCTACTAAAGAAGAGTAAATGCAGATAAAATGATAAGTAGAGCCAGACATTATTATCAACTTCCTGGCTTATCCTGACTTCCTCTGCTGAACATCCCTTCATCCCTCCGCCTGCTTTCACACATTATACCTGCTTTGGGATTAGTCTGTCCGTTCGTGTGAGTTCTTACTGGTTCTTACTGGTTCTGGGCTTTGCACTTTTTGTTTGCCTGCTGCTCTTCAACATGTCTTCCTGCTGACCTTGTTTGTCTTGAGCTCCTCGTGGCTCTCAGACTATAATCCACATCAGTGACACCTTTTAAGGAAACTGTCAGTGTTTTTATTTCCATTCGTTTGGACAGTGCAGTCCACTCGGACAGTTTTGATCTGTACCACCAGATGCAACAAAGCTTTTTGTTAAATAGATGCAACTCTCTGCAGGTACAGGCCAGAGAATGAAAACGGCGTACATCTGATGACCTGGTAAGACAACCCTCCCGTCTGCTTCAACTTTGATCTGTGTCAAGTTTCTCTTCCTGAAGATGGACTTTTGAGAGAGCTCGTGCTCACAGACTAATCCTAAAACGGTGCCCCCCCCATGCTCATTGTGCTGTGCAGTGTTAGGCCTGTGCGTGGACTGGGCTTTGCATGTGGAGTTTGCTCAGGTTTTGTGTGGGCGTGCACGTGTTCTAATCACCGTGTTTGTGTGAACATTTAAATGTGTTTTGCTTCCACTAAGCGTCCAAACAAAAAGAGTTTCAGTGAAATGCCCAACACAGCGCTGCTCCTCTACTTCCTGTTTTCTGAACGTGGACATCTGAAACCAGTTTAACCAGCCCAGAACATCAGATTTTTTTACGTTGTGAGCTCAGCTCCATGTGGGCTACATGTGCTCTTTGTGAGGCAGAGCAGGATGCAGCCGTTTCTTTGGCAGGGACTTTAATGAGATGCTACACCTTAATAAGATTTCATGCTAACTGCGCTCTCAGGGTGTCTGAAACGCTTTCAGAACTAAAGACGGATCTTTCCCGTGTGAAAGATGTTTTCTGATTCGTATCGATTTTCAAAGCCCCGCCGAACCTCTGCTTGTCTTCATATATATTTTACCTTTCCGTGTGCAGTTAAGTCATCGTGCTCCCAGCCTTGCCCGTGCTCGGTGTGGCGTCTTCCTCTCGGCGAGCGCAGCAGCATCCTGTTATTCCGCTCTCTTCTGGCAGCGCACAAATCCAGGCAGATGTGACAAATCTGGTCAAAATGGCTCCGACCAAACAAAGGTTTTCCACTTGATCGATTCTTGACCCTGTGGCTTTTTGTCAACCTAAAATGAGGCTGCGTTCTCATTTCTTCCACTCTTTCTTTTTTCATGGCCACTTTTCAAAGCGCACTGAGCAAAGAAGGCAGCACTTTATCTCTGATCCAATAATTAGCAGCGCCTCGCCGCAGCGGGACGGACACCCTTGCTGATTCTCAGTGACAGCCTTAAACTAATATGCATAATACCAAGGATACTGCCACAACTCCCCAAGCCCTCAATTTATGCAGATCCCAAAGAGCTGGATTGAGGTTAGCTTGCTGTAGATGCCAAAAAGCATCTTTAAATGAATTCATTTGTTTTTTTCATTTATCCCAGACTCCATCCCATCTGTCTCCACTGTATGAAAAATCTGAGGAAATTAAGAGTTTAAATTAGTTTTGAAGACAACTTTATAACGGCTCATTGTAACGAGCACGGTTGAGTGTGAAGTGATTCGGTGTTTAACGTGCGGCGCTTCATTTGTGCACGGCGGCGCTTGTTCGGCTTCGTCTTTCACTTCAGGCCTCTTGTAAATGAGTCCCTGAGGCTCCGTGGGATTAACCTGTAGAAATAAAGCTCGAACGAATGAAATAAATCTGGGGTCTTTATCTTTAGTGCACGGCTATTCAACTACACAAGTCGGGGGGTGGGGGGGTTAATGAAAGCCATGAGGTCAGGGACCAGACATCCAGCAGTTTTTGTCATTAACTTTATTTTATGGTTTAAAATCTAGTTTTATTTAAAAATGAAAACCTTGTTGGGCCGAACTGAGTTCACCTGGGGGCCTGATTTGGCCCCCGGGCCGCCACTTGAATAGCCCTGCCAAACGTTAGTCCTGCCACACAGCTGGTTTTTATTTTTTTACCACAGAGAGCAGCTCTGTACACTCCTGCAGCTCCTCCTGACCCCCCCGGGAAACGTGCACGTTCCTCCTTTCTTTGTTGTGTCTGCCCCGCTCATTCACAGCCTCTCAGATACTGATCTGGCCGAGACACATGCACGCCCTGCAGGCTTTCTCCACTTTGAGCCACTGCACATTTCTTACACTGGGGGGAGACAGTTGTACTGAACAACCCAGGAGGAGCCCCCCCCCCCCCCCCAATGAAAGTTCTTCATGCTCCACTTTTTGAGTGCAAGAAGTTACACCATCCAGTTCATCCATTTAAAATAAGACCTCGTGGTGACGAAGGTAAAGGTTCTGTTCTGAAAGCAGGTTCTGATCCAGAAACATAGAATGAAAGTGTTGAGACACTGATGCCCCCCCCCCCCCCCATGTTCAGCTATTTCTCAGTCATGCCCTCGCTTTGCTCCTTCTGATGTGAGCTGTCAGAAGGCTTTGATGAGCAGGGAGGAAGAGGAAGACGAGGGACTGAGTGTGCTCACAGAGGGGGGGGGGGGGGCAGAAGAAACCCCCCCAGTCTCACTCCACTGCCACTCATTCTCCAATTCTCCATTCTACAATTCTTTTCATTTTCACTCCCTTTTAGTTGTTGCTTCTCATCTTCTCTGTCTCAGAGCTTCATCACTTGCAACAAATCTCTTTTCCTCTTTCTCACTCATCCGTGCACACACACACGCGCGCACGCACACGCACGCACGCATGCACGCACACACACACACACGCACGCACACACGCACGCACACACGCACGCACTGGCTGCAATTAGGCGAGATTCAGCGGCTGCCTCCATTTCCCGAGCCGTTTCAATTTGCCGCTGAGCCTCCAGGCCACACAGCCCAGTGCCCCCCCCCCCCCCCCCCCCCCCACCTTATTAGTGACCTCAGATAATTGGGGGGTCCAGATCTCAAGAAGAAGAAAAACACTTTGGGTTTTTCTTTGAGCACGAGATAAACTGAAACTTCTTCATTCAAAAAAGAGTGAGAGGAAAAAGTTTGAGGCAGGAGGTGGAACTTTGGACTTGAACCTGTGGAACGCCTCTAATGTTCCTGAAGTAGGAAGTGGAATAGGAAATGCCCCCCCCCCCCCCCCCCCCCCCCGACCTGCACAAAGCATGCTCTGTGAAGTAAAACAACCCTCTCAGCACTCTTTTGAAGGACGTGCAGTTAAAGTACGTTACTTTAACTCAGCCTGGCCTCACTGTGACACTTTAAGAGAAAGCTGTTTAGCGGTGTGGACTGGGGGGGGGGGGGGGACCCTTGAAGGTTCATACGTACAAATAAAGCTACAACAAATAAAGCTACAACAAATAAAGCTACAACAAA